AGTACAACTTTATTGGATCTGACATCTTAGATCAATTTATTATCAATTATTTATGGGATTTTATACGAAAATGTCTGATCTTTTTAGGTGCAGTAAGTGAAATAAAATACAATTAATAGTGCAGTATTTTAGATAATGTCTCCTAATATTGCCTATTATACCTCATGATTTAAAATGACATTCTTATTGGAATCTTTCTTCCTTATCATTGTTGCAGACTTGTGATTTAAGATAAACTTCAACTTAGTATTATGCTAGATAATTCACAAAGTGGTACCCAAGATTTCGCCCCACCAATAAACTGAAGTCACTGTTACAATCCTTGTAAGCAGTGAACCCAGTCCAAAAAAGTATTGTAGGCTTGTCAAAGTATTATACTTGCCACTGATTGCCCATATGCGCAAGTCCTCCAGATGAGTATTAGTAATTTTAAATTTTTTTTTAGGACAGTGCAAGAGACAGAAAGATGCCCTGATTCCAGGAGCTTTTCCTGGTTATTTAGCGACACTGCCAAGTGTTTAAGCACATCATACATTGGACCTCGATTTAAAGTCCAATCTGAAAAACTGCTTTAGTAAGTAATTTTAGTTGGCCTGCCCGGGATTCAAACCCACAATGTCGAGATTACAAGTCTCTTGCTCTAACATGTTGAGCTATGCAGGTTTGACAATGGAAGTTACATAATTATGTACTGAATGAGACAGTAGACCAGTCTAAGACAGGTTACAGTCATGTTTGGATTTTTAGGGGCAGACAATTATAGCTATAAAATAAATACACTTGTGACAGTTTCCTTTGTTTATGGATGTATGTATACATAAGTTGTATGGTTTATTTTAAATAAAATATTCATTAGCATTAACTAATGAGAGGAAATTTCTTCTGGTTGACAAACTATCTTTGATCTTTGTATTAATTTCAGTTCCTTTGGGTTTATAAGAATTGACTATTTGGTGCAGTTAAATACTACAAGGGTCACTTTAAATCAATAATTAAGTGTTATAATTGCTAGTTTAATGGCTATCACAAATATTAGAGTAGTGGAAACAAATTGAATAATAAGCTTGACAATCATGAAGCATATTTAATGAATAAAATATCAACACTGCCAGTGGGGGGCTCCTGACAATATTGATTTTAAGATTACTTAAACCTGTTAAACCTGTTGAATATTTTAAATTGTTCAATAAACTGTATATAATTAACTTGCTTGGCTTTTATCTTAAACTGCTGGGACCCCATCTGATAGATTAATGACCCAAAATAATTTGCCTTTGCCCCCAGCACAGATCTCAAGCCTAAGGCCATCTGTGCAGTCTGACCAGGCTCTACACTGTTGGCTGACCAAGTTATATTTTCATCTTGATTCCCTAAAAATGATAATGGACTGTGCCAAACTGAAAGATGGACAAGTTCAATTTGGAAATTCTGCAGGGTTAGGGGTTACAAGATCTATTTTAATAAATTTTGAAGCCAATTTTAAAGAGCTTGGTCAGATTTTACAAAGGTGCATAGATATACAAGCTTGCATGGATCTGAACTACTGTAGTTGTATTGTATACCAGCAAGAATTAATTGGGCTCATGCATGTATTGAACTATCACAGTCATATTGTCACAAAAACTGAGAGAAAAATGAAAAAAGAGCCATGCATTAATTTAATGGGAAGGCAGAGTGGTAAATTAATGAAATGTAAACATTATCACATGGTCCCTGTCAAAGATGATGAAGTTTCCGACAAGTTGTTGTCTGATAAAACATGGCACTGATATCATTATTGTATGACAACTTTTTAAATGACCAAACAATGACATATTTTGTCTCAGAAGTGTGCATGAATCACACTCAAATCAAAAACATGAATCTTCGAATCTGTCAATTTTACTATGATCAGATCATCAAGCTTTCATCACATTCGTTATTCAATGATGAATTTCTAATTTTTGAATAAAGAAAACAAAAAACCATGGTTGAAAGAATTCTGTCAAATAGATTTTCTGATAGTGCGTTTGATTTTCTCATTTTGTTTTGTTAAGTCCCGGAGGTATTCGAGGAAGAAGGAAGTATCTGAGACACAGTTGAAGTGTGGGAGAGACATTTACATTATATAGAAGCAAATTAACAGAAATAATGTGCTTTTATTGCTTTGTATGTTGCTAAATAAGGCTGAATGTAATTTACTGAAATTAAAGCTTCGTGCAAAACTGCTCAAATGTCCATCTTTATTTATTTACACATGGATTACTTCTATTAGAGCATTAAATGTGAAATAGTTTAATGATTGTTAGAGATTTTAAACCTTTTTATGCTAGAGACTTGACCATCTTCCATTCAGGACAAACCATTCATCATTTTAAGGAAAAAAATTGAAATATGTACTAACCAAATAGAGAAAAGTGCATGAAACGTAGAGGTGATTTAGTTTTGAACTGGTTGCAGTTGTTTCAATAGGCAAAGGGTGAATAATTATTGATCTTCTGTTTTTGTTAAGCCTGCTTGCAGTGAGCTCCACTTTGCCAGCACTTTTGGCATATTTTCTGTATATGTGCATCTCTCCTGATTTGTCTAGTCTATGAAAGATTACAAAATAATTTGGTACAAATGTTCACCATGATGGGATGGTGTGTCGCACACAAAACCAGATCTGCTGCTCAAAGGTCAAGGTCACATTTTGGGGTCAGCACAGAACCCGTGTCCGTAGGGTAAATTCCACATGCGCGGAGGGATTTTAATATAACTCAGTTGGTGTATGTGTGTCCGTCAGTCTGTGCATCTGTCTAGATTTGTCCTGTCTATATCTTGCTCATTCTTTTAAGGATTACAAAATAGTTTTATACAAATATTCACCATGATAGGGCGGTGTCACACACAAGACACTGGTCGGCTGTTTAAAAGGTTAAGGTCACGCTTGGGAGGTCAGCCCAAAACCTGTGTCCGGAGCAAAACTTCTACATGCATGGCGGGATTTTGATATAAATTTGGACAAATGTTCTCCATAGTGAAACACGTTACCGGGTCAGAGGTCAAGGTCACCTAAGATGATGCAATGTGAAGATTTTGCCTCGGGTATAAAGAGGATGTGTTGCCACATCTCACCTATGTTGACATCTTTCTCCTTGATCAGAGACTTATAAGTTCAGGTTTGAATTAAGAGAGCAGGCTATGGGCATGTCTTGTTTTTGAAAATCTTTTGAAATGATTCTATACACCTTTGTTGACCAGACTTGTTTGCCTGAAAAGCAGTTCAAAGGAAGACATTTGCACCATGTTCTATACAGTGTTGGTAGCTCAATTTTTGTATCTGTATTGTTCTATATTAAAATAGGACCAGATAATCCAATGCTCAAATTTGCAGGTTAAGTGTTTAGCAGAAGTTTTGTTAAATTATAGATTCAATTTTCTATTTTATAATCTGTCAACTCATGGCAGCTGTTAATTTTGCTTGTGTTAATAATTATCTTGTGTTTATTTTTTTCTATGAAATAAAAGCCTTTAGTTTGAGAAGAAGTAAACATTATTATAAATTGTTCAATATTTTTATTTATACAAAAAATTAGTTGCATGCAGTTGAAGAATCAATTAATCAGTAGGAATTTAATTAAGGTACAAAATTTAATATAGTTCTTAATTTTTAATCAATGTATGATTAAACAAATTTCCCTGTGTAAATTAATTGGTTTTTAATATTCATATGATTTTTAGTTCTTTGATTTTAATTATACATAGATTTTTTTCAGAAATTAATTTTTTTTAAACTACAGCGAATATTACATAATTTGATTTAATGAAGATTCTTAAAAATGAATTACAAAAAAATAAAGAAAAATGGAATCCCTAAAAAACAATCAAAAATGTTGCAGGTTAATGGTTTGATTGCGCTTGTTTCTTGGTGTCATTGGTAAATATAAGGTACCCTCCATGCTCGCTTGGTTCTAAGGTTTGAGTAAAATTCAACATAAATGCGCTGTATTAGAATATAGATGCTCAGATATTTAGTTTGATAATTTTTTGTTTGTATTTTGTTTATGATAATTTTACACAATTTTACATCATTATCTTAAGCACATACAAAAGGGTTGGACCAAAAGCTACCCCAACATTACATAGGGTCCTCCCCTAAAGATCTACCGGTATCTTGTTTTGGCTTAATGGTTACATAATTAGTATTAGTGTGGATTTTAGAAATTCTACGGTATTTATGAAGTAATAAAATACAAGTTTCATATATTTTCCAAGTGTAAAAAAAGAAGCACTAAAAGTAACATAACAATTAAAATAAACAAAGAAAATTACAAATTAATTAGATAAATGAGATAAAATATAATATGATAATTAGCTACCTGGACTTAAGATGACAAATAAATATTGACTGCAACTGTGTTGAACAGTATTCTGATAAACTGGTAATAATGTTGAACACTATATTAATGGTCTAAACTGGTTATGATGTTGAACACTTTATTAATGGTCTGAAAGCAAAAAGTTATTAAATGACCATTGTGTTTCTTCTTCACTGACCATTATAACAATGACCATCATAATTCAACCACCTTATCAGTTAATTGAGTGTAAAAAGATATCATGAAAGTTAAATGGTTTATTGATTGACTCAGTTTTCTTCTTTATATATTTTGATGTTAGAGGTGAACCATCTGCTTTTGAAGATGCTTATCAAGATAGGCCCAGTCATTGATCATGTTTTTATTGATTTTAGAATTAAACCAAACTTCACTCTGGCCAAGTATTACTTGAGAGAGTCTTCGGGTGTACAATATTATTGGGTTGTCCATAGTGTGTGGCACTGGAGACAAACTTTTAAGTGGAATACAAAATGAATAATGACATAATTAGTATCACTGTTTAATGAATACAATGAAAGTTATGAGTGGAATAAGACAGATTTTGTTTTGATATAAGAATGGGACTTTGTGAGAGGAAGTAAATGACAACAGTTTTAAGCTATCACAAGGAATAAAAAAAAGTTGTATCTTTAATTTCAGATAGCAAGTTGGATTTTATAATTCTAAGGAAATCTGGAATAAAAGACAACATTGTTACAAGTTACAACTGGATTTGATGTAAAGCGACCTGGTTATTGGAGGTAGAAGTGTCAAATTACAGGTATGTTAACTGAATCAATATTTTGAAGTTGAATAAATTATGAAACTCATTTTAGCTAGAAAGACTATTATTTATTTGTGAAAGCGTCTTTTATGTTATTTTCAGTTTCAATGAACTGTTACACATTATAAAAATGGGATAAAGAGTTTCTATGACTGAACATAAATTTATATTCTATTTGATAACTTTCTGCAAGATTTATTGTTCCGAAGCGTGCCATTCTAGGCTAAAGAGATTTTTAAGAAGGTAAATTTCTAGTTTTCAATTGGAAAAGTTTATTGTTCTATTTTATGTGCATTACAATTTTGTCGTTATGTTTGTTTAAGTACTTAATTGTGATTATTTTACTGACCGAAATCACAGTAATTGTGATGATGATGAAAATGATGATGATGATGTTGATGATGTTGTTGATGATGGTGATGATGATGTTGATGATGATGATGAAGATCAGTTTTCAGGAATGCAACATGAATACTCACAACATCAGAAAAACTTACAATTTGATCTGTCGCTAATTCTTTTGTTATTTTTTTAATTTTCTTTAGGATTGTTCAAATTATTTTGATTAGCCCTTGCAGGGACTGCAAGAGACAATATTAGAAACTATAAACCTATAATGAAGTAACACCATGAATACTCTCTTTTTATTCACCAGTTTTCCAGTTTTAACATTCATTCAGGTGAGCAACTTGGGACCAGATTCTAGACAAAAGTATAGCTAATTAACCCAAAGTACAATAAAGACATCATTCAGGATATTGTGGTGAATCAGAGGTTTTAAATTTACAGTCTGAAACTAATCATTGAACAATGCTGATACATAATGAACTTGATGCAGCCTCACCAATCATTCTGATTGGATAATAATTGTATTGTAACAGTGCAATATTGCACTAATTGAATTGTAGAGAGATACTATACATTGTGCAAATTTGATAATGTTTGCTGTAATATTGGTTGTTGGGTATTATTTTTAATGCAGACGGTATCAATAGTATGCATTAATTCAGATTTACTGGGAAATTAAATTATTATTTAGATTGAAATTAATGAGATACCAAAAGTCTAGCTTAAGCAGGTAATGGATTGGACTTTTTTCTGTACATTTGACTAAATTTTAGCATTGTAAAAAAAAAAAAAAAAAAAGAAACAAAAAAACATTACTGTGTGCACAGTATTTTCAATAACAAAGTTTTAGCAATAACATGTTATAATTATGTTATTAAATTTTAGTACCTAAGTTTTAAATAAAGACATTTTCTCTTTTATCTACAACTTTAAATATTTTTGTCACAGTAAGAAGAATGTGCAGTCTGACTGGGACTTGAACCTGGGGCCCTCGGAATACTGTACCGCAGCTCTACCGACTGAGCTTTCTGGCCGCTTACACATCTTCTACCCTCAATACGGAACAGTTCTGAACTGTGACATCTGTGTGCAATTTATGAATGTTTTGTGTGGTATTTAAGATAGATGAATACTGTTGCATAGAGAAGACTAACCATCTCAGGAATGAAAGTTATTTTTATTGGTTAATTGGTATCATTTTGGTCAATTATGTATAAATTAATTGTATATGCTAAAGAGCCATCTCACTGTGAGTGTCAACATGGGAGAGAAAGAATCTCTTCTACAGTGTAATCTTCATTATTAACTTGAATTAGAACAATTTGTAATAACAGTACCTACAGAATTATATAAACATGTCTAAGCTTTAGTCACTAAGTTTTCTAAGTTTATCTTCTTGAACCAGGTGGAGCAATATTACTTTCTTGAACCAGTCCCCTGGTATCAATTACTTTGAATTATTTGGTGTTGTGGCCCTAAGTGTTTAAGTGTTGAGGATTGCCTTATGCTTTAAACAGTGTTAGGGGCCCTGAGAAATGTTACACTTTCAATGTCTCTTATGAACAGACTAAACTTAACAGAGATTTTCAAGGGTATTAAACATACATCATCACCACAATTGGTGTGGTCCTTACCAAAAAATCTGTGGCTAAGTTATTTAAGTCGTTGACTTCAAACCACTTGCCTCTCACAGCTGTAGGTTTGAACCATGCAAACATCATCAGATTCTACAGTTGAGAAAGCTATCCAGTTAGCATACAGAATGTCGGTGGTTCTTAGGTGCTCGTTTGTGCCTGAAATAATGATTGTACAGAGGGGGCCACCTAAGGTTTTCCTCTACCAATTAGGCTGGAAAGTTGTCATATGACCTATACAGTGTTAGTTTGATGTAATATGCAACAAAAAAATACAACAAAAAGTAGAAAAATTCCTGCAAGCTAGCCCTCCAGCCATGATTTACTCACACTGTCTATGCATGACTTCTGTCCTTTTTAGATATTTTCCTATCAAAAAATTACAGATATTCTTTTTTTAAATGACGGGGACTTTTTCTGCCATTTTGACAAAATTCTTTTTGATCATTGATTTTAATTTTTTGGTTTTCCTTTTTGGGTTCATTGTAATTGACATTTATTTTAGTTTATATTTTTTGGGGGCCCTTTTATTTATCTAGGGTAGCTAAGAAGTGTAAATAATTGAAATTTTGGGGAGATCTTTAACCGATATAAAAAAGAAGGGGAAAAAAAAAGTGAATAAAAAGACTTTTTAAATTTTTATGCAGAAAAATTTAAATTTTAAAAAAGAATTTTTGGGTTTAGCTTTACAATCGGGGTAAATTCTTTTTATTGTCCAACCCAAAAGCTAGGGGGGATGTAGGTAAACCCCAAAAAATAATTTATAACAGCCCTTCACACAGATTTTGTTGCTTTTAATTTTGCCCATTTTTAGAATGTTGAATTAATGAAATATAAACATTAGCACAAGGTCCCTGTCAAAATTGATAAAGTCACTGACTAACTGACCATGGAGAGAAAAGGTTAATGTCATATCATGATTTCTTGCCAATTAAAGCTTCAGAAACTGCCGCTGGGGAATCAAAATGCAAAAAAAAATTCTGTAGGTCAAAATTGTTTAGCGTTACAAAAATGTAAATATTTCTTCACAAACAAAATTAATGTTCTGGAAGGAAAACAGTACACAGTCTAGTCAAGACTGGAAGGAAAATTAAAAGTGGTTGAATAATTTTGAAACAATTGAAAATATATTATGTTTAATCATTCCATAATTATATTAGCAAATCAGTAATAATATTTATGTGACAGTGTTGTTATTTTGTCAAAGGATGCACAACCATGTTGGACAGACACACATAACACAGCAGATCAGACTGTATACTTAAACAAAGTACACAATATAAAATATAAATAAATCAAAATTTTCAGTTATAAATTTTTTATGAAATGGTAACAAAACAACAGAACACTACAAATACTACAAAAAAAGAGCAATAAGCTACAGCAGTATTTAGAAAAAATGATATAGAATACATTTACACATTTTAAAAAATACAAGGAAAAGAGGATAGAAAAATATGACGCAAATCGTGTTTTATTTTTAAAATGTACTTTACACTTAATTGGACAAATTTGGTGGCAAAATATTTACTCCTCACTTCTAACAAAGGTAAGATGATATAAGTGTTTAATTCGACAATTCTGTTTTAACTCTTATTGATCAGTACATTTGATTTAAATATGAAATAAACAGGGAGAAAACAAGTTATTATGGAACTAATATTGTAACAAGGCAGAAGTGTTTTACGAAAAATATTCTCTTGCATTGAAGCATGGTGTCTCATATAATATTCTGTATTTCTCCTGCAGGGAAAAAATAAAATCATTAAAACTAATCTAAACTTCAAACATTGTCTAAAAAACAATACATCAAAGAATTGATAATGATTCACATTTTAAAATTCTTTATCGTAGAATAATGAAAAATTCATAAAAAAGAATACAAGCCTTGTAATAATTTATTATGATGTCTTCTTTAATAATTTATTCATTTTTCTTTCCTTTGTCTTTGATGT